AAAGTTTCCTAGAGTTTAATAGGGGGATAAATCCTTAATTCTTTTACCTTAAGTGACAGTTGAAAATGACTTACCTTGCACAGGCTAAAACTGGGGTGGGAGTGAGAGCTCTGGATCACAAGTGATACTGCTTTAGAATAGGAGAATTGCTATCATTCTGGTTTACTTTCTGTGATCAAACAGCCTTTTACTCTAGGACCCTTTGTTTCCACCGAATTCCTGGAATTTTTGTTAAGGGTGAATCATGTAGAATGCTTTCTGTGTCATCAGTGGTTTCCACTGTGTTTTTTTGTTTTGGTTTGGTTTTCTTTTTTTGGAGGGAGGGTAATTAGGTTTGTTTATTTTTAGAGGAGGTACTGGGAATGGAACCCAGGACCTTGACCGTGCTAGGCATGCGCTCTTCCACTTGAGCTATACCCTACCCTCTTCCACAGTGTTTAAAACGCAGTTACACCGCCTTATTCTGAATCTTGGTTTCACATATTCTCTCCTGTGTTTTAGATTGTTCTTTGTCATAGAGTATGTTAATGGAGGCGATCTAATGTTTCATATGCAGCGACAGAGAAAACTTCCTGAAGAACATGCCAGGTTAGTTTCCTGTTTATTGTTTGCTTGTGTTGGATTTTGCAAGGGAGAGCTGTGGGACTTTTTATATGCCAGTGAAACAGTAGGGAAATCATTGATTTTGATACTAGTTAATTCCTTATGTCATGTAGAGAGTAAGCTAAAAGTTAATTTATATTATAATATATATAACATGTTATATATATAATAATTGTAAGCAATTAAAAAGTGTAAACAGTATCAAAGGGGAAACCTTTAATCTACTGAACTCAGTTGCTTTCAAATATTTTGGCTATTCAGCATCAGCCACTGAAAGAATTGATGAATTTATAAACACTTTACTAATCTCCTCAAGTTTGCAGTGATCTCTGGCAATACTTATTAGAAGATTATATTTCATATATACTTGAGAGTAATAAAACAATTCCTCTCAAGCTATTATGTAATTCTGATTGTTCTTCCATAATTATAAGCTCTGAATTGTTTTGCCTTTGGCTTTTCCCCTTATGATCCCATGTTCTGATTAATAAGAGAAAAGTGTGTTAAATATCATTTGTTTAGTGCTCTTAAGATATTATTATGCAAGATTTTATATTGTTTATATAAATGTTGGAGGAGTTAGGTGGCTAGGCACCATGGTCTTGGTTATGAAGTTTAAATCCATCAGTGCCATGCTTTGCTGTTTTTCACTCATAATTAGCAGTAATTCTACCCTTTTGCCCTTTACAAGAGTAATGCCAAAAAGAAGCATATAAGTTTGTATAGGTATGTAACAAAGGTTAGATACTCATTTTAAAAAATAACTTATTTAGTGAAATCTTGCTATTCATTGATATTTCTTGTCAAAAAGAGATAATATCCTTCAACTTCATAAGAAGGTATAAAGTGTATTAATCTAATCTCAAGGCCAAACTCTTTGTTTATTTGTTTTTTTACTGTATGTTCATTATTTATTTAGGCTCTATCAAATGGTTACCCTTCATAGCAAAGCCACAGATGATATTTTAAATTGTGAATATAGCCAGTATTTCTTCCTTGTTTATTCAGTTGGACTTGGGGAAAGTAATCTAGTTTTTACTGTATTAAAGTGCCCATTCTGGTTTTATACCATCTTCACTTTTCTAGGAACCAAAGTGCGGGATAAGGGCTCAAATTCCCTCTTCATAGAATTAAGTAGCTAGAAGGTGTGTATTACATACCTCCAAGCATGATCGTGATAGTATTCACCAAAGCAGCTACAAATCAGCTTGGGTGTTTCATTTTCATTGTTCAGGTCAGAAGTTCTGCTTATCACCAACGAGTTGGTGGCAGTTTTGAGAAGTTCTTTAATATTAAATGTTACTATTGTAGAATAATTTCTTCCCATTCCGTTTCTAGAAGTTTAGTATAGATTTTTATGGTTTGAGGGGTCAACTCTCCATACTCTTATTTTAGACCAGCCAATGATTCTTAGCATTTGGGGAGATCATTTGTCCCTTAGAGAAGTGATGTAAGCTGTGGAAACAATTGGAGAAATACACATACATACAACTTTGCATCCACTTGTAGGAATATGGACTTTCTGAAGTCTATTCAAGGACCCAGATTAAGAACCCCTGCTTGAGACGTTCAAATTAAACATTAAACTTTACAAAAGTATGAGTTTAATTTAGACTGGAACTTTTGTAGTTATATTTGGGGCTCAGCTATTTTAAAGTGGTACTCCAATTTGTGTTTTGGTGTTGTTCCTAAAAACACTGGAAGAAAAAAATCTTTTGACATGATTTTGATGTTCTGGTTTGCAGATGGGAGTAGGATTTAAATACCTTCCTCTAGAAACTTACCACAATTTAAAATTTTGAATCAAATGAGCAATTTTTTATTTTATTTTAGATTTTACTCTGCAGAAATCAGTCTAGCATTAAATTACCTTCATGAACGAGGGATAATTTATAGAGATTTGAAACTGGACAACGTATTGCTGGACTCTGAAGGACACATTAAACTCACTGACTATGGCATGTGTAAGGTGAGGGAAATTTCTAGTTATTCAAAAGATCTCAGCGGCTCAGGAGATTGTTTTGGTAAATAACTTCATATTTAAAGATGGGGAAATAATTGCTACTTTGTTTAGGATACTTTTTGGAATTCTATCACAAAGGCGAATGTACTTACTTCCTAGCCATTTACGAAATTCCATATTTTCTGTGTTATGTTCTATAATAAAGAGTTAATTTATTTTTATTGTCCGTAAGTTTTTGTCTTGGAAGTTGTGACACTATTGAAGAAAATGTTGTGGTAAAAGCTGTCTGCAAACCCACAACTTTAACGCAACTGCTTGTGAATCTCCTTCCAGTTTTTGCCATTTAATTGTGACGCTTAATAATACATTCAAGATTTTCCTAGGAAATCTAACTTTTTTTTATATTTAAATTTAAATATCTGACATCAAGTACAATAGAGTCAAATAAGAATTTTCATTACTCTCAGGGCATATCCTTTATTTCTTGATATTTTATTCTTTTTTGTAACAACATTCCATGTAAGGGTCCAGTCTTTGACAAAACGTGTAGGGAGCTACTTTCCTCATTAAAAGAGCTGGGGTGGAATGATCTTCACCCAGTAAATACAGCAGCAAGCGTGTAAATCTGCTGATCACCTGTCCCCACTCACCTGAGGGAAGTGCCTTCACAGCCTCTCTCCTCTATTCAAAGAAATTTGGGGATCCTCTTTTGCCTGGAAAATATTATTAGAAAAAAATTACTTGAACTTTTGTTACTCTTATTGAAAAATAATATTGGTTTGTAATATATTCTCCTCTTCCCAGAGATCCTTAATCAAGTTACTCAGGATCTTTGATAAATCTTAAAGGTTTTATTTAGTAGTTCTTGAAATTGATTGTCTTGCTTGTCTCCCTTTCTGTCTTTCCTCCTTCTCCAGGAGGTGTTTCTAATTATTAGTAGGAAAAGATACCAGGGTTGGAAGTCTTGTTCAGAGACTTTACTAACAGAACTTTGTCTCTTTTCCAACTAACATTTACATCCAATATTAAAGCTTATGGGAAATAAATCCCCTGAATTTTGAATGTTCTTACTTTGTGACTTAGAGTTAGTATTTAAACTTACCTGAAGTCTGACCTTGGGCAAATATTGGATGAATTTCTTTTCCTTACAGTAGTTCTTTGAGAAATCTAAGACACAGGTGTTTTTCATAGTTTCTCCACAAATACTTTAGATTTCATTAATTTCTTCAGTTTCTCACTAGGTGCTTTTATATAAAGAATGTAGAGAATAGTGCTGACTGGAGGCATATGAAGACTGCAGTTAATAGCGTCAGACTTACGTTTGAAATATTTTATGAACATTGATTTCTTGTTGTCTGAAAAACTTTAGCTGTTTTATCAGTTGATGTGCCTTTAATTTTGTTTTTTCCTCAGCAGGTGACTTTTTTTTTAAATGAAGTACAGTCAGTTACATTGTGTCAATTTCTGGTGTACAGCACAATGTCCCAGTCATGCATACATATACATATATTCATTTTTATTCTTTTTCATAAAAGGTTATTATAAGATATTGAATATAGTTCCCTGTGCTGTACAGAAGAAGCTTTTTAAAATCTATTTTTATATATGGTGTCTAACATTTGCAAATCTCAAACTCCCAAATTTATCCCTTCCCACCCCCTTTCCCCGGTAACTATAAGATTGTTGACTGTGTCCAGCAGGGGGTTTTATAATAATATCTATGTTATACTGTAGATAATTCAGCTGATGAGCCTACATTCAGATAGCCAGTCACAAGTTTATGGCACAGCTCTTTTACAGGTTAACAAACTGCATCCCTTGCCTCTGACTTTTGCCTTGAAAATGCGTGTCATTTACCATGAGACTATATGTCAAACCATTGCCAATAATACAGAACAACTTAAATCACATTCATAGTTCCTTGTATAGGCACACCTCATGCTATTGTACTTCGCTTTACTGTGCTTCACAGGTACTGTGTTTTTTTACAAATTGAAGGTTTGTGGCAACCCTGTGTTGTCAGATGATGGTGAGCTTTTATTTTTAACAATAAAACATTTTAAAATTAAGGTATGCACTTTGTTTTTTAGACATAATGCTGTTGCACACTTATTAGATTACAGTATAATGTAAACATAATTTTTACATGCACTGGGAAACCAAAAATATTCATGTGACTTGTTTTATTGTGATCCGCTTTATCGCGGAATTCTGGAACCAAACCATGATATCTCCACAATGTGCCAGTATACAAAGATAACATATATATCCCTATTAGGGATCTTAAAAAGATCCTTGGAGTCACAACATGTATTACTATATGTTTCTTCTAAGTGGTTATATTAGTGTTATATATAGTAGTAAAAAATTTGAAGAAAAATACGTACCCCAAGCCCAGAATATCTCTGCGGGAACACGTAAGAACCTCATACCAGTGGTTACCTGTAGGGAGCTGGAACTGGATGTGTCAGGGACAAGAATGGGAGGAAGGCTTGGTTTTTAGAGTCTATCTCCCTGCCTTCTTCTGTTTGGAATTTTGTACCATATAATTCAACAATAGGGAAATGGTTAATAGGTACATATGTTCAATTGAATTTTATAGTCATTTATAATAAGAAGTCTGTAATCACATGGGAAATTACATGCTTATAAAGTTAAAAAAACATACTTAATTGTATATTTACTATTATTCAGCTTATTTTTAGATGATCTTTTTAGTGTTTTAAGTTCAGGTACGGTTGATTTACAATATTATATAAGTTTCAGGTGTACAACATAGTGATTCACAGTTTTTAAAGATTATACTCCTGTTATAGTTACTATAAAATACGGGCTATATTCCCCATGCTGCACAATATATCCTTGTAGCTTATTTATTTTATACATAGTAGTTTGTACCTCTTAATCCCTTATCTCTATTTTTCTTTTCCCCCCTCTCTCTCCACACTGGTAGCCACTAATCTGTTCTCTGTATCTGGGAGTCTGGGTGCGGGGGTTGTTGTAATTGTCACATTCACTGCTTTGTTGTATTCCTTAGATTCCACATATAAGTGATAGCATACAGGATTTCTTTTTCTCTGATTTATTTCACGAGGCATAATACCCTCCAAGTCCATCCATGTTGTTGTAAATGGCAAAGTCTCATTCTTTTTTGTGACTCGCAGTATTCCATTGTGTGTGTGTGTGTGTGTGTGTGTGTGTGTGTCTGTGTGTGTGTATACCATATCTTCTTTATCCATTTGTCTATCAATGAACACTTAGTTTGCTTCCATATCTTGGCTGTTGTAAATAATGCTGCTATGAACATTAGGGTGCAAGTATCTTTTCAAATTAATGTTTTCATTTTCTTCGGACATGTATGTATCCAAGAGTGGAACTGCTGTATCACATGGTAGTTCTGTTTTCAGTTTTTTTGAGGAATCTCTATACTGCTTTTCACAGTGGCTGCACCAATTTACATTCCCACCCACAGTATACAAAGGTTGCCTTTTCTCCACATCCTCACCAACATTTGTTATTTGTGGTCCTTTTGAGAATAGGTGGGACAGTTGTGAGGTAGAGGCTCATTGTAGTTTTGATTTGCATTTCTCTAATGATTAGTGATGTTGAACATCTTTTCTAGTGCCTGTTGGCCATCTCTGTGTCTTCTTTGGAAAAATACCTATTCAGGCCTTCTGCCCATTTTTTAACTGAGTTTTTGGGTTTTTGGAATTGTTCATATATTTTAGATATTAACCGTTGTATCTCATATCGTTTGCAAATATTTTCTCCCATTGAGTAGGTCGTCTGTTCATTTTGTCGATTTCCTTTGCTGTGCAGAAGCTTTTAATTTTAATTAGGTCCCATTTGTTTATTTTTGCTTTTGTTTCCTTTGCCTTAGGAGACAGATCAAAAAATATATATTGCTATGATATATGTCAGAGTGTTCTGCCTATGTCTCCTTGTACGAGTTTATGGTTTCCAGTCTTACATTTAGGTCTTTAATCCATTTGGAGTTTATTTTTGTATATGATGTAAGAAAATGTTCTAATTATTCTTTTACAAGTAGCTGTCCAGTTTACCCAGCACCTCTTAGTGAAGAGTCCAAGATCAAGGCAGAATCAGCGTCTGAAGTCACCCTTCCTAGTTTGCACGTGGGTGAAGGTGCATGGCTCTCTTCTCCTCGTATCCTCACAGAGCAAGGAGACAGGGGGGCTTTATAAGAACATGAATCCCATCATGTGAGCTTCAACCTCATGGCCTGATTACCTCCTCAAAGGCCCCACCTCCCAGTGCTATACCATTGGGGCTTCAGCATATAAATTTTGGGTGCACACAAACATTCAGTCCACAGCAGTGACTGTGAAATTCTCTTAATAATTTTGTCCATTTTTACTATTTGTATTTTGAGGCTGTGTTGTTAGCTACATGCAAGTTTCTTTTAGCTTCTTGGTGATTGTTCCATATGTTATTTATACATATTGTATAAATGTATCTATTCATACATATTAGTGTGTTTTACCTTAATTTTATCCATCCTGTAGCTATTAAATACAAAGCCAAAAAACATGTGCCTTAGGAAGAACAACCAGAAGGGAATCACCATAATGCAAGCAGTGATTGTGTTGGGAGGTGGGATTTAAGGTGCTTCTTTTCTTCATAAAATATGATTCCTCTACTCATGTAATTTAAATTTTTGTGTTAAATTTTGACTTGAATATAAATTATTTTCAATGCAATTTTTATCTCAATTGAACTGATTCTAATGAGGATAGGTTTTCTTGAAGTGATTTAGCAGCAACGTGTGATTTCAATAATAAAGGCAACTGTGCTAGTGATATGTGAGCTTAATATATTACCTACAGATGCTAAACTTATAGATGAAATAAAAGAGGTGAAGTTAAAACATTTTGCATTTTGTTATTATTGTTTCTCTTTTTTAATAAAAGGAAGGATTACGGCCAGGAGACACAACCAGCACTTTCTGTGGTACTCCTAATTACATTGCTCCTGAAATCTTACGAGGAGAAGATTATGGTAATAAATTGGTGATATTTTAGCTATGTACTAGGGGGTCGTTAAACATGATACCAATTGCATTATAGTATGCTATAGTATTTCATTACTGATCTTATTAATATCAACTTACTTGATCCCTTTCAATCTCACATGAAAACGCCAAACTCTGAAATCAGAGACAGTGGGACCTTGGCAGTATTTGAGGGTGCAGATTTTAATAATATTTTATTAGTGGCAGGCACTTATGAGTACTAGGCATTGTTCTAAGCAGTTTGCATATATTAACTAAGTTAATCTTAATAATCCTGTGAGGTCAGCACTGTTAATTCCCATTTTACAAACAAGGAAACTGATGCACAGAAAGTTTAAATAGCTTGCCCAAGGTCATGTAGCTAAAAAGTGGCAGAGCTGGGATTTAAACTTTAGTCATGTGACTCCAGAGTCATAAACCTCTGGAAGATTGTTCAGAATTCCTGTGGTATTTACCGCTAGGAATTTGAAAGATGGAGGAAAGATTGAGTGCTTGTCAGGAACCAGAAGATATGTTTATCTTAAGGAAACATTTGACCCTTTGGGTTCTGGCCCTCTGATTTCAGCAGTTGTAAAGGAGGATGAGTACTTCTTATAGTGGCTCATAATCTGATTCCAGCGTCCTTCAAAGATCTTTAATCAGCTAGCAGAAGAGATCAAGTTTCACACCAAGGAAGGTTATTCTCAAATACAATTTATATCCTCATAACAAAATACTAGATAGAGGCCATTAGTCTGAAATTACAGCTATTTGGGAAGAGAAATTGATGTTTCACTTTCTATATTTTATTTTTAAAGTTATCTTTTAGACACCTCCCCTTTTTGATCAGTGAAATATTCCTATAATCCCCAATGTCTACTATGGTAGTTATAGGGTATAGTTTACTTTTTCATTATGTTTATCTTCTTTATTATGTAGTAAAATGAATCTCAAATTACTGACTCTGAAGAATGCAGAATGGATAATTTATTGCTTTCAAACTTCTTTTTTGAAGGTTTCAGTGTCGACTGGTGGGCTCTTGGAGTGCTGATGTTTGAGATGATGGCAGGAAGGTCTCCATTTGATATTGTTGGGAGCTCAGATAACCCTGATCAAAACACAGAGGATTACCTTTTTCAAGGTAATTTGCAGTATTTTATCAAGATTCTCTGTGAGTAACCTATTCTAGAGCATGAATGAAGACAGCTCAAGTTAGTACTTTGAGTAAGAAAGAGGAGAATAATCTAGACAATATACAGCTTCACATGTGAGGCTTGGAGTTTGGTTTTGTTTTGTTTTGATATCTCCTTCCTGCCTCTGTAGTCTCCAGTCCCTTTCGCCAGTAACCTTCTCATACTCGAAATCGTGACAGAGAGGTTCCTTCAGATTGTACATCACAGAGATTGGAGGAAGGAATTTTGTGACATTTGGTTTAGACCACAATGCTGAGTGCAGAAGTCCAAGAACCATATTGAGGGGAAAGTAGCATACCAAGAAGATAAGAGGGATCAAAAGGTGAAGAAAAAAGCCCCACAATTGGAAATACAAAGAATTGAACAGAAGTGCCATTAAATTCTACATTTAATGATTAAGGCCATCACAGGAAATGGATAGATATTTCATATAATGGGAAGTCCAGGTGGCTGTGGAATATGTGGAAAGACGTTCGACCTCACTACTAGTTAGGGTGTGCACGTTAAAACATTGAGCTACTTTTCATACTCCCACATTTGGTAAAAATTTTTAAGTCTGATAATACCAATGCTGGTGAGGATATGGAGCGATTGGAACTCTCAGAGACTGGTGGCGGGAGTGAAAAATTGACACAACAGCTTTGGAGAATAATTTGGCAGTGTCCAATAAAATCGAATATGGTAGTATGTGCCACACATTTCACAGGTACTGACACGTTTAAACCTGACAACACCCCTATGACGCAGGTATTATTTTTATTCCAGTTTTACAGATGAGGAAACTAAAGCACAATAAGGTAGTCAAAGAGTAAAATACACGCGTGTAACTGGTGAAAACAGTGTTTAGATGAGAGGCTGTCTCTGAGAAGGAAGGAGCGAAGTGGGACTGGGAAAGGACACAGGACGCTGAGCTGGTATATGTGACATCTTGTTTCTTTCTGCTAGGATGCCTTAAATATCTCATAATAATAAAGTTCAAGATTAAATCCCTATAAAAGTTAAATGCTGTCAATTTTATCTTTCTAGTTATTTTGGAAAAGCAGATTCGCATACCACGTTCTCTGTCTGTAAAAGCAGCAAGTGTCCTGAAGAGTTTCCTCAACAAGGTATAAATTGTGTGTAAACCTTTAGTGATTTAATCTCTCTGTACAAACGAAACTGGTAAGTAGAGGCTCAGGCAACGTAAGATTCTAAAACATCAGGGTATGTAACTTTTCAGTTAGATCTGGAATTTGTCTCTTCACTGTAGAGTAAGTTGGCAGCATTAGATCCTGAGATAAATTGTCCTTTCCATTTTGCCAATATAATTTGCCCCCAGCTATATATTACATTTTCAATGTAAATGATATATACCATGTACTCGGGAAAATTGCATCTTTGGGGATAGTCTCAATTGTACTGTTGCTCTATTTTTCAATTTTCTTTGGATTATTACTCCTAGAATGTCTTTACTTATTGAGCACTTGTGGCAGTCGTGTTGCTTACAAATTCCCACGTCAAAGTCCTATAATTAGATAATACTCAGAAGAAGTGCTATCATTGGCACGTTAAAAAAAAATCTGAACACATTCCATTGTTTGTTGCAGTTGGTAGGCTAGAAGAGTTTTAGAATCTAAGGTTGCAATTCTTAACTGTTTTTACTCATCACTTCTGACACCAAACATGTAGGTTTTTCCCATACCAACAACCAATTCTTACTTTAAAATCATATTTTAAATAAATGATATGTTAGAAAGTAGGCTGATTTGCAGTGTACTTTCTAAGATACATAGGTAATGACCAATTTTAATAAAATAAGAAATTCAAGCTTGTTTTAAATGAGTACTTTATATGAGGAAAAATTTAAACTGATACCTAAGCTTCAGTACATTGAAAAATGAAGGTGAGAAGTGTTAATGTGCAAAAAAACAAAATGCCTTTCATTGGAAAGGAAAGGGGGAACACGTTCTCATTCATGATAATTTTGTAAGTTGCTGGCCCCTTCTCAGTCCAGTGATTCAGATAATGATTGTATCCTCATAGTACACAGATTTTGGTTTGCTGCTATAATTGGGCATAAGGCTTTTAAATGGAGCTAAGAATAAACTTGTAAAGTTTAGGAGTTTGCATATTTTGACTGCCACTCTAACCCATGTCAACAGAAGAGCTGGATGCTGCCCAAGTGATTCTGCTGCTCTCTTTTCCCTCCCACTTTTCTTTAGCAAGGTGTTGTGACAGGTCTCCACTTGAATTACAAGATAGCTCTAGAGAGAGCCTTGAGGAAATCCTACTTGTTACAAGCCTCAGATACTCATTTGATATCCAGTGTTATGCTTTCTAGAAATGAAAGGTAGACCATTCTGATTTCAGACATATAGACACATATTAGACACAAAACATAGGTCACAAAGGTGATTGATTCTAAAGCAGGATATTCACGCGGTTCTTGAAACATTTCTTTGCACCGTAGGACCCAAAGGAACGATTGGGTTGTCATCCTCAAACAGGATTTGCTGATATTCAAGGACACCCGTTCTTCCGAAATGTTGATTGGGATATGGTATGTAAATTTTGATTGTGTTATGTATTAGGTTTCATTATTGTGGTTGGCCAAAGTTTATTAACTTAGAAGAACATTGGAAAAAAAAGTATATCACAGCTTAAATAACTTAAAACCACTCTTGCAAGTGCTTTTTAAAAAGTTTTCAAAACAGTAAAAGCTTAGAGTGTTAATTTAATGGAATATTAAAATGATGTAGTATTATGGAGACCTGCATCAATGTTCAGATTTGTAAATTATTTCCATCATTGTGAATATTGTAGAACCATGCCTAGGGACTCACTGTAATAAGACCGGGAAGCATCTGAGGGCAGAGGAGAAATATAAAGGTGGAATTTTCCTAAGAATGCAGGCTTGAGCTGTCATCCAGTGTGTCTTTCTAGATGGAGCAAAAGCAGGTGGTACCTCCCTTTAAACCAAATATTTCTGGGGAATTTGGTTTGGACAACTTTGATTCTCAGTTTACGAATGAACCTGTTCAGCTCACTCCAGACGATGAGTAAGTAATTCCATAAACTGTAATATTTTTAAAGTTCTTTGAAAATTCCATTTTTAATGGCTACTGTATTTAATTATCAGATTACACTATAACTTTATCATTCGGTTACGGGATATTTGATTTATACAATTATAAAAACAGTAACTGCCATTTTCTACTTTGCTTTATATGTATTATCTATGATTCTCACAACCACCTTGTAAACCTAGTCTGTGTCATCTTCGTTTTTCAGATGAGGGAACCGAGGCTCAGAGAGGTTAAGCAAAGTTACACAGCTGTGAGGTGGCAGAGCCAGGATTCATACCCAAGTCTGACTAAGGCCTGTGCTCTTTCCACTGCACTGCACTGTTTCCCGTTGTGATGATGACC